TGTACAGAGAGAAAGAGGCTAAAGGCCTAGTCTAAGACTTGTCGGGAATACGAGATCCCCAAACTATCATTCTCTAGCCACGTGCTCAAACCTGGGGTAGAGAAGACAATATGTGAAGCCCGATAGGATATGAAGCCGCTAGACGAGTAACGAAATCCGCCGCACAACATATTATTACCAACCAAATTTACGACAAATTTGAACCTGTAATATTTGGGCCAGGATGTAGATAAATCGGTATAGGTCCAATAGTAGCATTTCTTTGAGGTGGGCTAGCTTCTGAAAATGGATCAAATTGGGCCTTATTGGGAGTGAACTGTTACGTAGAGTTTACGTAAGACTGAATATAAAACATTTTTAGTTTATCATAAGTCATAACTATTAAGGATAATTAATAATGGCTATTTATTGAACTATTCCGTCCGGTTTTAATATAAAACGGTTTTAGTCTATCATAAGTCATAACCAAGGTTATCAAAATCGCGACTTTGAGTCGTAGAATTGCCGTTTCTACGACTCAAAATCACAAAATCGATTCTAAGTCGCTCAATATCGCAAAGGATTGTAGAGTCGTTACAAAATCGGTAGAATCGGTCAAAATCGTAAAGTCAGACCGATTCTACGACTTTGACCGACTTTTTGCAAAACTGAAATTAATGTACTAGAACTAGATTTTAAAATTGGGCTGCCTTTGTGCACTTGGGTTGTTTTTTTTATATTTGTTTTACACAAATTGGCCCAAAGAAGCATAAAGATTCCCTTTGCTTGGCCCCATACAAACCAAATTATTTAAAAATAATTAATAAAAACCCAAAAAATCCTAAAATCTTAATCCCTAATATGCTCTTCCTCCGTCGCGCAACTTCTTCACCTCCATCCCTCACCGGCCGACCATCGTACTTCAAGTCTCCGACGTTAAAACTCAAACTCATCTCTCTCTTACTTCTTCTTCGGCCTCCAATCCTGCACAGTTCACACGGTTGTAGCCTCCCACAATCCGAACTCTGAGTCTCCGTCGTTAAAATGGCTCGGCCTCGACGCCTGCGTCTTCTTCGTCCGAGCAGTGATCGTGATGGTGATGGTGTTATAAATTATGATCCGAACTTGTGTTTTTTTGTTTCACTAATATGTTATTTCACTAGTAGTTTGAACTTTGAAATGTGAAATTATGTTATTTCAATCATGATATCAATTCAAAGTACGGAAAAAGCAAAAAATGGACGGTAAAAAAAAAAGCAGGAAATGAAATGACATTAATAATATTAATATATAATAACGACAAGAAATAAGTAGGAAGTTGTGTCTGAATCATGACCCAACATTATTCACGTTTTCATGATTAAATGAAACACAATAAATATATTATTTGCATGTGTTTCAGGATTTCTCAACACCAAAAATCCCATCTATTTTTTTTTTTTT